AACCCTCGGGTGGGAGCACCGCCGCGCTTCCCAAGCGGCGCACTTATCCAGTGCGCCACCGGGCCAGCCCTGTTTCTGTCACTTTTAACAAAATACATGGAACTGGGCCGGCCTGTGGCTCACTTGGGAGAGCGTGGTGCTGACAACAGCAAGTCAAGGGTTAAGATCCCCTTACCTGTCATCTTTAAAAAAACAAACAAACAAACAAAAAAAACACAGAACTGGGTGATTTATAAAGAAAATGAAATTTATTGCTTACAGTTTGAGGCTGGGAAGTCCAAAGTCCATGTGGTGGTGGTGACAGTGACCCAGGGGTCTCACATTACAAGATGGTGGAAGCAGAGAGAGCAGAGAAAGAGAAAGACAGACTCTCCTCTTCTTTTAAAATCCTCAGAACCATGCCCCTGATCACCATTTTTAATCCATTCACTACTGCATGGTCCTACAATCCAATCACCTCATCAGGGCTCCGCCTTTCAATTACCATAATAGGATTTCCCACCCTCTTACCACTGTCACAGTGGGGGCAGTTTCTAATAAATAAAACTTGGGGGGCACAATTCAAGCTTCAGAGAGTTTTGGGGAGACATTATTCAATCCACTACATTCCACCCTGGCCCCCAAAACTCATGTCCTTTTCACATGCAAATACAATCATTTCATCCTCAAAGTCTTGTTTCAATTCAAAAGTCCGAAGTTCAAAGTCCCATCTGTGAATTAAAAACAAGTTATCTATTTCCAAGATACAATGGTGGGACAAATATAGGGTACATATTCCCATTCCAAAAGGGAGAAAGAGGCCAAATGAAAGGGGTAACAGGTCCCAAGCAAGTCCAAAACCCAGTAGGGCAGGTGTTAAGTCTCACAGCTGGGGAATCATGTACCCTGACTCCACGTTGCATGTCCTCTGCACACTAGTATGGGGGCTGGGTCTCTAGTCCTCAAGCAGCTCTGCTCCTATGGCTTTGCTGGTCTCAGGCCATACTTCAGCAATCCCAGGCTGTCATTCCACTCTGGTAGCTCCACAGGTCTGGGGTCTCCATGGTGGTCCCACTCTCATGGCTCCACTAGGCATGGCACTGATGGGGTTTCTCTGCTGCAACTCCAACCTCAGCGTTGCTCTAGTGAAGGCTGTCTGTGGTGACTCTGCCCCTGTGACAGATCTCTTCCTGGGCTCCCAGGCTTTTCTATACATCCTTTGAAATCTGGGTGGAGGCTCCCAAGCCTCCACAGCTCTGGCATTCTGCGAGCCTGCAGACCTAACACAACGTGGACTCTTCCAAGCTTCCGGCTTGTATTTTTCAAAGCTGCACGTCCAGCCACACCTGGGGCCAATTTAGCCGCAGCTGAAGCAGCCAAAGCCAAAGTCCTGCTGGTGTGGGGAGCAGCAAGCCTGTGAGGCCACCTCGAGCCTATTCCCCAAGACCATTCTGTCTCCCTAGGTCTTTGGTCCTGAAATGGAAGGGTTGTCCCCAGAGGCTTCTGCAATGCCTTCAGGGTCTTTTCCCTTCTCTTTATAACCCTGTACTTTTGTGTAAATCTTCTTAGTACTATTGAATTTTTCTTCTGAAAATGTTCTCTGCTTCTCTACCACATGGCCAGGCTGCAAATTTTCCAAACCTGTATGCTCTGCTTCCCTTTAAAATTCTGGCTTTACATCAGGCCTTTGCCACCATAACTCAGCATAGGCTGTTACAAGTAGTCATG